AAGACCTGTCATGTAAAGGTACAAGATCCCAATGATGAATGTAACTGTACTGTATACCTAAAATGTACCAATAAACTCAATTTTTAAAAAATGAAATTAAAAAAATTTTTAAAACCCACCTGTGTGGGGTGGCAATGGAATCCATATGCAGCACAGAGAGGGGCTCACTTGCTTAGCTTGGAGCAGGAGTAGGGAGTTGAATGGTTAGATTTGGAACCAGTGATAGGTGGTAGTCACAAAGTAGTGGAAGAGGCAGCTAAGGAATCGTTAGAGAAGGAGGAGGCAAAAAAAGAGGAAAACGGTGACCAGAAATGAAGAAAGAAGAAATCCGGAGACAGGATTAAAAACAGTAAAGCCACAGAACAGAATCCTCAAAACTGGGCAAATGGGAAGTCACCAGTGACCTACACATAAACAGATAATTAAGTCTTTTGGTTTGAAATTCATTTTCAGAATGCTGAGTTATGATGGAATCATTTTAACTCCCATTGGATAAATAGCACAGAAAGTTAAAACTCATCTGAAGGAACAAGAATGCTAACAAGAAAATTAAAAACAAAATCCCATCCAGCCTCTCTCTCTCTCTCTCTTTCTCTCACTCTCTCCCTCCCTCCCTCCCTTCCCCTCCACCCACACAAAGACAAGATTTGAAAAGGTATAACCAAAGTGGGTTATGTAAACTCTGAAGAGACAGGGATTTTAAAAATTGTGGTCATAAGAAATTTTAGCCTACCTTTAATATTCCTTATAAGAACTATCTATTGGGCCAGGGATTTAGCTCAGTGGCACTGTGCCAGCCTCCCAAGTACAAGGTTCTGAGTTCAATTTCTAGTACCCCCCACAAAAGAATGTCTATTTATGCATTCACTTATATAATTAACAATCAAATTTCTTACAACAGATAATCTATTCATCTATCTCAGAGTTGACTAAGCACATACACTATTAAGAATACTCAAGTTAGGGGCCTTTATTCTTAGGATGAATTAGGCCCTTTCTATTACTGTTTAGTTGTAATTTTAATATTTTAACTGTGCCATTTACCAAATGGCCTCTTACAAGCTGGGTATGGTGGCACACTCCTATAATCCCAGCACTCAAGAAGCTGAAGCAGGAGGATATTTTGAGCTGGACACAAGGCTGGGCTAAATAATGAGTTCAAGGACAACTTGAACTGCATATAGCAAGACCATTTCAAAAAAACCAACCAAACAAACAACCAAACAAAAATCTCCTCTTACAGTTCCTTCTGGTTAAATAATCCAACTGTATTGCTTTTCACATGAAAGTTATTTAATAAACTAAATTTAAGGTATGTATACATCAAGAGATGGCTACATTTAGATCCACATAACCAAAGTGACATTTTTCTCGGCAGGCTTACATCTCCCTGAAACAGGTACAGCATCAGAAGCACAAGACAAGGAGACACTGAGAAGGAGTTTCGAGGCAGTTATTAGTGGTTCTCTGACCTACTGAAGGCACAGAATAGTTTTAAGAATTCTTTACTCTTAAAATCCTAACTAGATACACAAATTTATTGTTAAATATAAGACTGGTCAATCAAAAGTTAATTAACATGTTATTTTCTGTAATATATCTGAATATAAGTCACATCTAATTTTTTGCTGATAAATTTTCAATATGGGTTTTGAAATTACTTTTCCATCAATATCATAATTGAAAATATATCATTTATATTTCTATTGCACAGTTGACATTGCTAATCATCTGTGAAAGTATCATTTATTTCTGTTTTACAACTAGAAATAGAAAAGGAAAGCCCCGGATAAAGCTTAGTGATATATTTACAAAACCCCAACTCAAGGCTCTCCAAAAAGAGAAAAAGAAAAAAAACAGTTTTATCAAGATCCTTTAATCATGGAACAAAAGAGAATAATCCATCTTATCTCGTGCAAGATGACAGACTGCATGGGACCAAAATGAGAAATGAGTGGAAATACTAAAAATAAAGTCAAGTTAATTTAAAAGGGTATTTTTAATATTATAAACACTTTTTTAAAAATCCAAATTTGGACCTTATATAACTTATTCAAGTTACACAAAGAACTTTCATAAAAATAACTTTAAAATAGAAATTAGTAAAAGAATATCAAAAATTGTTGTTTACACTTGAAAAAATCTCATTTGGTTAAAAGAGATTTCAAATGTAGAATAGCAGAAAAAAATCAACTTCTTATTGTTTTCTTGATTAAGCATGTAAAGAGCAATGTTAGCAGTTATATAAAATCCTTAAAAATTTGTTGCAACATTTAAACCACTTTGTATCCACAAAATGGGCATCCATTTGTATTCCTATCTGGGCATTCACAGATCACTACTTTGATCCTGTTCTATTTTCATCTTGTTTGCAAGCCTCTCTGCATCTAAGTCTAGTCAACTAAACAGTTTATTAAAGTCTAGTAAACTAAGTTGTTTATTAAAAATAAAACTCCTCCAAAATGCGGACTCTTCAAAATAAAGTTTAAAGTTGAAACAAAATAGTGTTCTATGGCATGGCATTACTTTTAAAGGGCTTTAAAAGGGTTCTAATAAAAAATTTAAAAAATAGTTTCTTTGTGCTTCCTATGAGCAATAACACTCTCATGATTTTTTTTTTCTCATTGGACACTGTGATGTATATTCATTTTATCTGACTAAAAATACTTGGTCAAAATATCTTTACAACTTAATTCTTTGTAGTAAGAAATATGCTAAACATACACAATTTATTTAGTGTTTACTTTTAATTAGCATAAAATTTTCCATTCAAATGCAATGAGCTATTCAAAGGGAATTCTTTAATGATGCATTATATAACATCATGCACATAAACATAAAGCTATAGTTTGTAATGCCTATGATACATCACTAATAGCAGTTGGCAAATTTTAAAAAGAAAAAAACTGCAGAACATTTTGATTTTCAAAGCAAAAATATCACCAAATTAATTATACTGAAAGTATTTTTAATTTACAGTCAAAATTAGTCTTCACTAAAAAAATCTGCAAAGTAAGAGAAGGTCTGCATATGTATAGTTAAAGTATGATTTTTCTTGTTACTGCCTTACTATGCCTAAGTGATGAGCTGCTGCTAGCTGATCTCACATGAGCAAATGAGACCACGCTAAGGTCAGATTTCCTTGTGAGAGGGGCAGAAAAAAAGTGAAAATGTTCACAGCTAGGAATTTGGTTGTTAAACACATTCTCTATTCCAGTCTTACAAGCTTTTCAGCTAGTAAATCAAAATCCTGCTATACACTAAGATAATATTCATGACAATTCTCTATATTTTACCTTCTTAAACTCAAAGACTCAATTCCAAAGGGTTAATAGAGGAATTACAAAGTAACTCTCTAGTTTGCATTTCCCATAATACTAAAATAAAGCTTTATCTTTAGGCTAGAAATTTGCTTTTTTAATACTATGAAAAGCCTCTATGAATCTGTTTAACGTATTTATTTCTTTTCATCTATTCAGTGCCACCGGGCATAACATGTACTGCAGTGTGTTGATATTTTGCAAAGCACCACATGACTCACTGTACCCTAATGCACTCCATTAATCCTGTTTGGACAGCTGGGTCCAGGCATTTGTTAGCTGCATTTTAATTGTTCCATCTTTCTTTCTTTTTTTCTTTTTATTTATCTCTATGGCAAACTGCTTAGGAATTTAATTTGTCAGCCTTCAAAAAGTAAATTTTACCATTAATTTGTCTTCTTTGTATTAAAACTATGTTCAGAATGTAATTTTCTGCCATAAAATCAGTACATATTAACAATTAGCAATTAATCTTAAGTAACAGCACAATAAGTTAAGTCTCCTAAATGTTGAAATGGTAGAATGGATGCCTTATCACAAACTATCTGATAGACTATCATAACACATACGATAATGTTTACATCCAATCAGTTTACCAATGTGCACATTTTTGGCATTTTCAAGATTAGCACACTATAAGCAGATATCAAAACAATAACAAGCCCAAAGAGCAAACACGTAAGACCACTAAATATGTGGGGTTTGGATTAGCTTGTGGAATAAAGTTCCTTTTAAATTTAGTTTTAATTCCACTTTGTATTGAAACATAAAATTATTTGCAATGCAAAGTTCCCACTTTCTTGCACAACCTGCATCCTGATGGCTCTGAGTCGTGAATGAGTAACCAAGATGACAGGAGAGCAAAAACAGGAGCAACTTCATGGCACTGCAACTGCTGCTTGGAGCAAGGTGCACAGCTTTACTGATGCAATATTTCAGATCATGTTCTAATTATTAATTTCTGAAGCTAAAGCTTAAGTCTAGAGAATCAGACAGAACTAACAGAAAATTTTAGTCATTCTTTGTCAGCCTGAAATAATATTTAGCCAACAGTGGAGCATACAGTCTGCAACGGTGCTTTGTAAAGATAAAAAGGCCAAATAGTCTTTCTCAACTATTTAGAGACAAAGTGGGAATCTGTTTTACTTTGAAAAGATGACCAAAATCTTCGGCATGCCAACAAATGAAGGAAACAGTACGAGTGCCAAACCATGGAGACTAAAGGATGGAAAGGTGTCCTCTGAGATTACAGATTTATAGATTTTTAAAAAACACACAAAATTTTACCTTTGAAAAGACATTTCATATAATAAAAATTAGTTTAATATTTTCTAGACTTTTTTTTAATAAAGCCATGGTTTCCTCATTAGAAGACTTAAAAGTTTAACTTGTGAACGTGATAAAACAAACAAACAAACAGAAAAACCCAGTCTATTGTTTGGAGAAGGAATGTTTTCAGTGTTGACAAAAAAAGGTCTTTATTTGACAGAAGTGCTTATGTTTACTATGGAACTATACATAAGTGAAGTACAGGACTAAAATATAATATGATGTGGGAAGAAACACTGTATTTTCAAATTGATCTTTTTGAAGGAGTTTAGACAGTAAGAGTTAGAGAGATTGGTAAAGACATCTTTAAAAGATGAGACTTTTAAATGAGCATTTCTCATGTGCACTTACCCAGTGTTCTGGACATTACAGGCAGAGCAGAGCTCAAGACCAAGATTGATACACAATTCCCAATGATCTGTTGAGAGAAATCAGAATGAATATTGGGCAAGGAAACAGAAGACAATCACAAAGCCATTACCATTCTGGGAAGTTACTGTGGAGCACAGTCACCTATCAAACTTTGCAAACTTCTTAATGACACTTAATCTTAATGATGCTTAATGTTCAATATAAAAAATTTTAAAGATAATAAACTTTTTCAACAAATACAGTTTTATTTGTGATTTCTAGAAACTACAGTCTACAAATATAAAGTTATAGAATATTTAAATTGATCTACACTTAGATAATGCATTTGACATTTTTATATGGTTTTCAATTTCAAAAAGTTTTACTTTTTAATAAAACAGAATTACAACATTTAATACTGACTATATTTTTAAATAAAACAATTACTACATCTAATACTCTGACTATATTTTTAAAGTCTAATTATTGGTAAAGTTCTCAAATATCTATTTCTAAAAACTATTGTTAGATTTAACTTGAGAAATGCTGGAAATCTAAACATCTAAACTCTAATAATTCTTTTTCAATATATCTTATGCTTATTCTTTCATATTAAATAGCAGGAGCTGAAAATATTAATACATATAGTTGCTTAAACTAGATACTAATACCTCAACTGTTTACTGACTTCAAAGAAGTCATAGCATTATATATTTGTGTATATAAATATATATGAGTATATATATAAAACTTCTCCCCTTTAAATTGGCTAAAAATATGGAATGTATAAATTTTTAAAAATACAGCAGCTTTTAGTCATTCTTTTTCAGCCTGTGGGAATATTTTACAAAGATTCAGTCACTATATTAGATAACAGCCTGTGTTATTCTGAAGCCAATGAACATAGTGTAGAAAGTCAAATTAGACTCAGCCAGTGAAATGTTTCTGAATTGAACTCTTCTGTCTTACTTTAATTATTCAGATTTGAAATACTTTGTCTCTACTACTTGTAGCAACTAAGTTCTTCAGATTTCAAACAAGCCCCCTGAAGTACAGTTAGTACAATCAAAGTTACTCATTAGCAATACGTTTTCTTTAGAGGAAAAAAGAGTCCTTTCAGGAGCCTTCTATAGCTAGTTAACAAGCTCTGCAGTTCTATGCATTTACAAATGAATGGACGCCTTCCAAATTAAACAGAGTACATCCTTTTCCCACTCATTCAGCATTTTGAAAATCTTCCAGTTTGTGTTTATGCAACTTACAAACAAATATCTATCACAACAGATGACCTTTCAGAGAGATTACTAAATAAAACAGTTCATTTGTCTTGGAAAGCAAAAAGAGAGGCTATAGTCACCTAAGACTTTATCCTACCTTTGTCATGGTTGTGTCATCCTTCTTGGGTGTAAAGTTTCCAAAAAATCGTAGGCTATAGAAACCAACAACGGAAGACACCATAAGATAGCTGTGAGAATGAAGGAAAAACTCTCCAAAAGAATGCAAGTTTCCATAGATTTTCAGCAGCCTTCCAAAAGTCTTAGGGCCCACAGGAAAAGCAAAACAAAACAAAAAGCCACTCTGAGTGCTTGAAGAAGACTGACTTGTTTTTTCTTCTAGACAAGTGTCTTAGTAAATTACCACTGTCCCAGAAACTAGACAGAAAACTTGTTAACAGACAGAACATTCAGTCAAAGAAAGGATACAAAATCAAAATGATTTCAAGTGCAGCTCCCACAATACCAAAAGTAGAGAGAGAGGCATTTCCTATTCCAGGACCCTGAGGGAGAAAAAAGCACTTTTTAGAATTCAATGACACCATTTTATTTGGTTTTCCTAAAATTGTTTCATACATATAGTTTAAACTAGGAATGTTTAATATCGTGAAATAACACATACATTTTCAAAGGCCAATAAAACATGTCATTAAAGTGATTTCATGAACAAATTCAGCCATCATGTTAACAACGTAAACAAGCTCAAAAAATCTGATTTAGGGAAGGGTAGGGGAAAGGTAATAAGGGGAAAAAAATATGAGAATGAAAAAATGGAAATAAAATGTTTGTAAATGGGGAGGGGAGGAGGGGGCGAAGGGAGGGCAGGCACAAGGGGAAAAAATGAGAACCAAGACCTGTCATGTCTTTAAGATACAAGATCCCAATAATGAATGTAACTGTACTGTATACCTAAAATGTACCAATAAACTCAGTAAAAAAATCTGATTTACCTCAAATGTAATTTAAATTACTTGTCAAAATAATACTGTTACGTTTACTGCTTTAAAATGGAATTATTTGATAATTGAGAAAAAATACTGAATACTCTTAGAGGAACTTTTTAAAATTTTAAGACAGGATCTTGCTAAGTTGCACAGCCTGACTCCAAACTGGCGGCCCTCCTACCTCAGTCTCCCAAGTAGCTGTGATCACATTTGTGGGCCATTGCGCTCAGCTGTCTTTTTTAAATAGACTAGTGCCACAGGAATAGACTATTTAAAAAAATAGGAATAGACTATATGCCTATCTAAAGGCATATAATCTTTATGCCTGAGTCAACATAGAAAAATTACACAAAGGATGTAAAAATCTAAGCTTAGCTTAGGAAGAAAGTAAATGAATGTCCAAATCTTCCACTGAAACTCAGAAAATTATAAAAAATATGATTTTTACAAAGTAATGCATAATTTTTTCCTTAACATTATGTTTACCTCAAAATCTATCTTTATCTAAAATTTAAACAAAATCAGCCTGGGATTTAGCTCAGTGGTGCCACTGCCTGCCTCTCAAGCACAAGGTCCTGAGTTTGATACCCAATACCAAAAAAAAAAAAAAAAAAAAAACCTTAAAACAAAATCAAAACAGAAAAAGCAACATTATATAATGAGATATGAAACAAAAATATTCCCCTACTAAAGTAGAAACAATATTTTCCCTCTAGTACCAGGGATCAAACTCAGGACCTTGAACTGAGAGGCAGGCATGGCTAAATCCCCAGCCCTAGAAACAATATTTTCAAAGCTTACTAATTAAAGATTAAAGATGTTATCTGAATAAGAGTTACTTTTCCACCGCCAGCTTACACTACAACACCAGAGACAAATAAGAATGTATAGTCAGCCTAATAAAAAAAGATAAATATTATACATATTATATACACTCTAATTTTGGTATAAAGAAGTAAGAGCAGTAATGGAAATTTCATATATAAACAATTTTGCCAAGCTTTTGAAGAGGAAATGGGGTTTAGGACATGATACCCCAAAATCTGGCAACTCTGTTTGAGAAAACCTGAGAAAGCTACACTCTGACCTCTGGAACTTCTCCTCTGAAGTAAGTAGGAGACCATTACTAGAGCGCCCCTAAACCCAGAGGAAAGAGCATCCTCATCTGTGATGATAGGTTACACAGGCCTTGCTGTGCATGGTTATGACCTTCAATAATATCCTCTTTGTCTGATCAGACTTACCAGACACACAGATTTTCTTGTTTCTTTGGGTCTCCATTTTTTTTTTAAGCAAAACATTTATTGGTACAGTTTAGATATACATAATGATAATATTCATCATTGGGAATTTGTACCTGTATATGATTTAACCATTGAAGGGCAAGGAGGAGAATGGGAAAAAAAAAGAAGGAGCTTCATTTCTGAAGGCTCCTATACCATATGAAACTTGTATAAAATAAATTTGTCCACTTTTCTCTTGTTAATGTCTTTTCATACAGAAGCCTCAGTGATGAACATTATGCTGGGTGAGAAAAAGATATTTTTTCTCCCTTACAAAGTCCTACTGGCCAAATAGAGAATATTACAGAATATTCCCTCTCTTAAAAAGAAGGCTACAATCCATCCCAACAGTTGCATAAATCTCAACACAGAAACACAAGAGTATGCCAAAACAAAGGAACATGACTTCTCCAAAGGTCAATAACTCATCAGTAAATGAATGCAAAGACATCAAACTGGATAAAAGGCTGGACAAAAAGTCCAAAGACTGATTTTTTTTTTTAATGATCAATGACTTCAAACAAGATGCAAATAAACAGCTGAATGAATTAAGAAAGACCATTCAGTATATGAAGAAGCAATTCAACAAAGAGAAAAAAATTATGAAGAAGAACCAAACAAATCTTACAAATGGAAAGTGCAGTAAATCAAATCAAAATCTTAGTGCAAAGCCTCACCGAGACTTAGTCAGGTAAAGACAAGAGTTTCAGGACTCGAGGATAAGGTTGCTCAATTAACAACACTCATATACTAATGAAGAAAAAAATAAGACAGGTATAAACAAAACATCCAAGAACTCTGACACATGCTTCAAAAACCAAACATAAATTTTGGCGTAAAATAGAACACCAAAGTTCAGACTAAAGAAATAGAATCTAGAGCTGGGTGTGGTGGTGCACGCTTGTAATCCCAGCACTCGGGAAGTTGAGGCAGGAGGATAGCTGCGAGTTCCAGACCAGCCTGGGCTACACAGTGAGTTCCAGGTCAGTCTCAACTACATAGTGAGACCCTGTCTCAAAAAACAAAACAAAACAAAAAGAAAAAAGAAAAGAAAGAAAAAGAAACAGAATCTAATCAATGAAATAATAGCAGAAAGTTTCCCTAATCTTGGGAAAGGCATGGACATCCAGTTATAGGAGGCACTTAGACTTCCAAACAGGCATGACAAGAAAAGAACCGCCTCATGTCATATTAGAGATAAAATGTCAAGAGTACAGACCAAGGAAAAAATACTGAAAGCTGCAAGAGAGAAACAGCGATCACTTATATAGGCAAACACATCCAAGTAACTGCAGACTTCTCTACAAAATCCTTAAAGGCCAGGAGGGCATGTATTTCAAGTCCTGGGAGAAAATGACTGCCAACTTAAATGACTATCCTTCAAAATCCAAGGAAAAATAAAGACTTTTCAAGATAACCATAAAGTAAAAAAATTCATGACCATTAAGCCAGCACTGCAGAAGATAAAGGAACCCTACACTCAACAGATAAAGAGTAGATTAGCTGTTGTGAATTAGAAAAGAATCAAACATCAAAAAGAAAAAAAAAGCAAAATGACAGGAGTTAATACCCTACTATAATAACTTTAAACATAATTTTTTTTTAAGACAAGATCTTGCTATATAACCCAGACTGGCACCAAACTAGCAATTTTCCTGTCTCTATCTCCCAAATGCTGGGATTATAAAGTTGAGCTCCCATGCCAAGCCAAGTCTCAGTTCTCCAATTAAAAGTGGCAGACTGGGGCCCAAGGCCAGGGATTTAGCTCAGTAGTGCTGCACCTAACTCATAAGTGCAAGGTCCTGAGTTCAATCCCCCATGCCACAAAAAAAAAAAAAGTGGAAGTCTGGTAAATTGGATTAAAAAATAAGATCCAACCCTTTGGTGCCTGCAAGAAACACATCTCACTAACAAAGACAAACATATAGAAAGTGAAAGGATGGAAAACAATATTCCACACAAGTGAAATTCAAAAGCAAGTAGAATCAGCTACACTCATATCTAACAAAACAAACTTCAAAATTAGTCAAAAGAGACAAAGAAGACCACTACATATTGGTAAATGGAACAATCCACCAAGAAGATATAACAATTGTAAATATATATGCACCAAACTATTACTCAGTTTCATAAAATAAACACTTCTCCGTATAAAGAAACACATAGGTCCAAATACACCAATATTAGATAACTTTAACTTCAAATATTCCACTCTGACCAATAGATACATCAGTCATCCAGACAAAATAAATCAACAAAAACCTATCAGTTAACACCTGTCATGTAAAGGTACAAGATCCCAATAATGAATGTAACTGTACTGTATAATTAAAATGTACCAATAAACTCAATAAAAGAAAAAAAACATATCAGTTAAACTACACCATAGATCAAAGGGACTTAAGAGATATCCACCAAACATTCCTTCCCCAAGGAACAAAATACACATTTTTTTTCAGCAGCCCATGAAACATTCTCCACAGTAGATCATATTTTGGGTCATAAAGCAAGTCTTAACAAATACCATAAAATGAAATAATGTCTTGCATCTTAATAGATCATAATAAAATGAAACTAAAAATCAAGAGAAGGAGAAACTATACAAACATATGGAGATCAAACAATTCACTTTTTGTGTTTGTTTGTTGGTACGGGGACTGAACTCAGGTCCTTGCACTTGCAAGGCAGGCTACTGAACCGCTGAGCTAAATCCCCGGCCCCAAACAATTCACTTTTGAATCTATGGATCACTGATGAAATCAAGACAGAAGTTTAAAATTTCTTGAATCAAATGGAAAAACAACATACCAGAATATATGAAAAGGCAGTTCTGAGAGGGAAATTTATAGCTAAGACTAGCTAAATTAAAAAATCAGAAAGACTACAAATAAATAACCTAATGATATATCTCAAGGTTTTAGAAAAATAAGAACAAACCAAAACCAAACCCAACTGAAGGAAATAAATAGTAAAGATAGAGACTAAAAGAACAATACAAAAGATCAATGAAACAAAGAGGTAGTTCTTTGAAAAGATAAACAAGATTGATAAGACCTTAGCCAAAAGGGAAGTCCTAAACCAATATCATTAGAGATGAAAAAGGGGTTGTTACAAGAGACACCACTGAAATTCAAAGGATTGTTGGGTACTATTTTGACAACCTATATTCTAATTGGAGAATATTTTTAAAAATCAGTACATTTCTAAACATATATGACCTACCAAAATTTAAGCAAGAGGATATAAGCACATCAATAACAATGAGTGAAGCAATAATATAAAGTATCTCAAAAAAGAAAATCCCAGGACTAGATGGATTCACTGCTAAATTTTACCAGATATTTAAAGAACACTAGGGAAGAAGAGAGAGCAGGGTATGGGGAAAAAATAAAAACCAAGATGTAGCATGTAAAGGTACAAGATCCCAATGATAAATGTAACTGTATGGTTTACTTTAAATGTACCAATAAACTTAATGGGACGAAAGAGAGAGATAGAGAGGGACAGAGGGAGGAGGAGAGGCAGGGGAGGGGAGGGGAGGGAGAGGGAAGGAAGAAAAAGAAAGAAAGAGAAGGAAGGTAGGAAAGAAGGAAGGAAAAGAAAGAACACTAATGCTTTTCAAACTAGTCCAATATAGAAATAGAAAGGAAAGGGATGCTTCCAAACTCATTCCATGAGGCCAATATCACCTTGATACCAAAATAAAACAAAGACACAACTGTATTAGTCACTTTCCAGTCACGGGGTAAAAAATACCTGACACCTACAACTTAAAGGAAGAGAGGTTTATTTTGGCTCATAGTTTCAGAAGGTTCATTCAGTCCATGGTTATCTGGCTCCAAGTCAGAAATGGCATAAAGGAAGGACTTGAGAGGTGAAAGCTGCTCAGCCAATGGCAACCAAGAAGCAGAGGGAGAAGGGAAGAGCCACAGATAAGAATACACCCTTCCACATTATACCCCCAATGACCCTCCTCTTCTTACCAACCCCATCTCAGCTATGAACTTACCAGTAGATTAACCAATCCACTGATGAGTATAGCATCTCCATGATCCAATTACCTTCCAAAAGTCCCATATCTGAATACATGAGACATCTGGAGGACATTTTAGACCTAAACCATAACATCAACTAAAAAAGAAAACTTCAGATCAACATCCTTGATGAACACATATGCAAAAACACTTAATAAAATACTTATAAACCAAGCTCAACAATATATCAAAAAGATTACACACCATGATCAAGTTGGCTTGGATGGTTCAACATATGCAAATCAATAAATGCAATACACCATACAAATAGAATCAAAGATAAAAATAATCACATGATCATCTCAACTGATATAGAAAAAGCCTTCAACAAACTTCAGTATCCCTTCACAATAAAAGTCCTGAAGAAATGGCTAAAGGGGAAGTGGGAGGGGGAGGGAAAGGAAATAAGGGAAAAGAAAAAATGTGAAAAAAGGAAAAATGGAAACAAAGTCTTTGTAAATAGGGAAGGGTGGAGGGGGTGAAAGGAGAGCAGGGGTATGGGGAAAAAATAAGAACCAAGATATATCATGTAAAGGTACAAGATCCCAATAATAAATCTAACTGTATTGTTTATTTTAAATGTACCAATAAACTTAATGGGGAAAAAAAAGTCCTGAAGAAATTCAGTCCTGAAGAATCATACCTCAATATAAAAAAGGCTCTATATAACAAACCCACCACCAACATAATCCTAAATGGGGCAAAGCTAAAAGCGTTTCCCCTAAAATAAGGAATAAAATAAAGATACCCACATGCACCATTTTTAGAGCTGACAAATTCAGCAAAGCAGCAGCAAACAAAATCAACATTAAATAGAAATCAGTAGCTTTTCTATACACCAAAAATGACCTAGCCAGAAAGAAATCAGAAAAATTACTCACACTAGCTTTAAAAAGAAACACCCACGAATTAACCTAACCAAAAAGGTGACATTTTTCCACAATAAAAATGACAGAACAATGAAGAAAGAAAATGAAAACATTAGAAGATGGAAAGATCTCCATCTTCACAGTTTGGCAAAATTAATATTGTTAAAAAGGCCTATTACTAAAAGCAATGTAATGACTCAGTAAAATCCCCATCAAAATTCTAATGACATTCTTCACAGAATTAGAAACAATTATCCTAAAATTCATATGGAAATACAAAAGACCCAGAATAGTCAAAGCAATCCTAAGCAACAAGGGCAAGACTGGAGGCATCACAACACCTGATCTCAAATAATACTACAAAGCCATAGTGACAAAAACAGTATGGTACTGGAACAAAAAAGGGCATGTAGAAATGAAATAGAACAGAGAACACAGAAACCAACCCATGCAACCAAAGCTATCTGATTCTTGACAAAGGAGCCAAAAACATGTATCAGAAAAGATAGTCTCTATAACAAATGGTACTGGGAAAAGTGGATATCCATATGTAGAAGACTAAAAATAGATCTCTATCTTTCCTAACCATTAGGGAGATGCTGATCAAAATGACAGAGATTCCAACTCACCCCAGGCAGAACTATTATCAAGAATACTCTGATAAGGATGCAGAGGGAAAGGAACTCTTCTACATTGCTGGTGGGGATGTAAATTAGTACAGCCACTATGAAAATCATGGTAGCCATTCCTCAAAAACTAAAAATACAGATACCATTTGATCTAGCTATACCATTCCTTGGTACAAAGAAGAAATTAAAGTCAACATACTGCAGGGATACCTGCATACCTATGTTTTGGCAGCAAAATTCACAATAGCAAGATATGGAATCAGCCTAGGTGCCCAGCAACAAATGAATGGATAGAGTAAATGTGGTATATATACACAGTGTAGCCCTAAAGAACAACATTTTGTCATTTACAGAAAAATAGATGAAACTGCAAGTCATCCTGTTAAGAAAGTAAGCCAGACTTACAAAGAGAAGCATTGTGTTTTACCTAATAGGTGAAATCTATTTTTAAAAACTACATGGCACGAACATAGAAGGGAAACCATTATTAGACAAGAAGAAAGAAATAAGGAATGGGGAAAGGATAAAAGGGAGAACAATGGAGGGGTGAGTATGATGAAAATATTTCATATGCCTATACAAAAATACCACATTGAAATCCAGTATTCTATAAAATTAATAAGTACTAATAAAAATATATTTCTAAGAAAACAGAAGGCTAAAATAGTATTAAGATAATTTATCTATACAGCCACACATGCATCCCCTCAAGGTACAAGGCTCTCTGTGCTATGTACTAAGGGGCTAGTACAGAACTCTACCACAGAGCATGGAACTCACCGTTTCATTGGTATGCTACAAAGAGTCAATAGGAAGTCTACACAGGAGTAACTTCCTGGTCTATCTAAGGATTTAAGTATAAACAAAAGAGACACAAGACCAGGTAAAAGATGAGTGTCATTTATTTGTTTGCAGAATGAAGTGTGTGGAAGTCAGGGGTGGGGAGACACACAGCTAAGTGAGTGAAAGGGTGACGGCAGATGGCTCAACTCCAGCATGATGGTGGCTAGTCAAACCCAGAAAATGGTTAAAGGAAAAACAAATAACTTCATCTCAAGCTGGAGGGAAGGAATTAAGACAGACACTGACATTTTTCTGAGAGGAAAAGACTATCATCTGGTTCAGAGAGAGATGAGTGATTCATAAGTCTGGAGAGTATTAAAATCACTGCTATGCAGAAGGTAAAAGCTGTTGACTTAAAAATATATAATAAAATGTCAAAATGTAAATGCCATTTTAAATATCCAAAATTTTATAGAGAAACCTATAAAAGGTATGTCTGATATGAATATTTAGTGGTAGCTAATTTCTATATAGAAAATGTATTCAAATAGGCTAATTGATAGAATTTAGTAAAATCATCAATTTCTAAATAAGAAAAAATTTTAATTCATAAAAAGTACATCTGACTCTCCTCCAGTAAGTAACTGTATATTTGATATAGATTCATCAAGTGTACAACAGTTTTGAAGCATAAGCCCCTATATATATATATTTATAAATCCCATGTCTATGAGGTACTTTTTATACAACACTATTTTAAAGCATGCATTGTCTTAAAGAATCACGGATACAAATGTCAGTAAAACCAAGATCATCTCTGACATGAAATCAGGAAAAAATTGATATACTTGAAAAAAAAGGGCCTGATAATCCAAAGTTTTAAAAAATTACAGTTTATGAACACTATTTACAAAAGCTAACTAAAGATATTCATACACTTGAAGTATATACAAGGAGAAAGGTAGTGTTTTCTTTAATTACTTGAAGTACTTGGGTATATGTATACAAAAACTTGCAAATGCAAAACATCAGAAAGCATTTTACTTTACCCTTGTTCCCTTTGGCATTGCTGTTTCATCAACCAACAGGCAAAGAATATTACACGCCACTAAAAGGACAGAGATGGACTGGAATACAAAAAAGCAAGCTGTCAGCTCTCAACTCCAAAGACTTCTTTGACAATGTACAAATATTAAAATCTAAGTAACAAAGCATATGTTTCAGAATAGAGGAAAAACACTCAAAATCCAAATTTTACTATACAGCTAAGTAAATAGACTATATACAAAAACTCCAAAATAAATTCCAAGAGATTCTGAAAATTATTATAATTTCAAAGCTTGTGCAAAAGATAGCAAAATAGATCCATTTACTAAGTAGTGTCACCAACTCAAACCCACAACTCCACAAACTTCAAACAGTAAAATATTAGCAGCACTAATTTCCTAATGCAGTTTTTCATAGCCTTTGTAGACTTTGAGGCACAATTTCTGCAATTTCCTATCTTTCATAATTTCCATTGAAACATAAGCCTGAATTTTCTGCTTTCATGAGAAAACAAATCATCTTAAAGACTTTCTAATTGCCATTCATTTCCATTTATTTCCTATTGAGTTTATACAAATAAAGGTATAGACAGATTTTAATACTGTTGAAAGAAAACTAGTTTACTAGAAACCATTTAGCTGAGGAAGCTGCCATACTCAAATGCCAAAGCAAATAAGAATATAATATGGTTTATTTCAGTAGGCAAATAAATTCTTACTGTCTCGATAAGAAGTAGAACCATCACAGCAGGATACACCAAATTTCTTTCCCATGCTGAAGCCTTTTTCCGCCTCTCTAATAGAAGGAAAAACAAAATAAAAATTTCAGTAATTTCAAAAAACTCTCTCCAGATTCATATTTTCATCCCATCATGCCACAAACATTATGCAATAAAAAAAATTATCCACTTTTCTCCACAAACTATGAAAATCAATGTGCTATATTAACAGTGCAGACCTGTGAGGCTTAAACTTCAGCTCTGTAAAAATAATTCAGTTTTTAAGAAAAGCTATGATTGTACGTGGTTTATTTTGAGATATTTGGTGTAGATGTATATATGGATATAGATATACATTTGAATGAATAAAGTAACATGAATAAGATCTCTAATCTCATGTCCTAAGGATCTAAAGGCTGAAAGCAAACCTCCGCTTTAGCCACAACAGATTACTTTATACCACACCCAGCCACATGCTGAGAACAACAGTGGAGGATGGATTCAATCTTTAAAAAGAGTCCATATTAAGATATCAGAGAGCTACCAAGACCATGAAAATTGAGGTGCTGCTATTCTATAAAACAGTTGAGTTGAGTCCCTCAGTGTGACCGTTTTCCCTGCAAGGTATGTTTCAGTATGTAGATGGCTTGGATCCCAGAGGCTGAGAGATCAAGCAGAAACTTGTGGGTCAAAGGCAAGGGTGCTAAAGAAAATCTCTCAGCAGTTATGACAGGGCCAGAGAGACAAACTCTAGAGTTTGAGGCTACCAAGGTGGGCAAAATTTGAGATGCAATAATCACAGAGAGAAGGAAAGGACAAAGTGGTGATTCAGATACTCAGACAGGATCCCTTTCCCCATGAGGCCTTGGCAGTCGAGGATAAGAAGAGCAGAAATGCAGGTGAGAGGCTGGGAAGCCCAGCAAAGCTCTCTCCAATTTCTTTTTTTCTTTTTTTTTTTTTTTTTGAGTTTATTGGTACAATCTAGGTATACAATACAATTACATTCATCATTGGGATTCTGTACCTTTACATAAGAGGTCTTGATTCTCATTTTTCCCCTTGTCCCTGCCCTCCCTTCACCCCCTCCTCCCCTCCCCATTTACAAACACTTTATTTCCATTTTTTCAGTTTCTCATATGTTTTTCCTCTCCCTTATTACCTTTCCCCTACCCTTCCCACTTTCCCTACACCTTTAGCCCTTTACTTCCTATTTCACATTATTAATTATCTCATTAGGATCCTGTGTACTATTATAGTTTTTCACACCAAAGAAACTATTCAGTATTTCAGTTAAAGAAATCTCTGTATGAACATTAAAAATAGGCAATCCTAAAATAAAACTAAAAAGGAAAGTAAAAGAGAAAAGGCAATGATGTAGGATTTAAATAATCCTTAATTCTGGTCTCTCCAGTTTCTTGAACAGTAAAAATGAGAGTTCATTAAGAAGCTGCTCAAAACAGGTTTTCAGTTAGGATCAAGGAAAATCTATATACTGAGATTAATGACAAACTGGAAATGGTCCAGCCTATGTAAAGACCAAAAGTACAAACAAACTAAGCTGCTAAGTCCCCACTCCACCTGCTACCAGAATCCAAAGTAACACCACTAAGAAAAGGAAGAAAATACCATCCCGCTGCCACAATTTCATGTTAGCAATGTCTAGCATTCAATCAGGAGAAAAACCAAGCAGAGCACAGACCACTCCTGAGTCTAGGACATGAAAATTGAATCTAAAGGGTCTAAAATCAGCTGAACTTTGCAAAGCAAAGTACAGAAAGAAGACTGTGGCCTAGGAAAGAATTGTCAGGATCAAGAAAAGTCAACCTCTGGCATTCACAGTACTGACCGGCTCAGGCATGTGAGGAAACAAGCCATGGCCAAAGAAAGAACACACAAAAATAGGAGGGAACAGGGCAATCACAAAGGGCCAAGAACAATGCCTGCCTTGGTGGTGGGGAGGTGGGGGCACCTCTCCTAGATGCAGGGCTGCCCTGGCTTAACCTAACTAGTCTTCAAGTCCAACCCAAAAACATCATGTTCTTTCCAAGGAAGTGAACTGTACTCCAGAACAAAGTGCCTCACTCACAGAAATACAAAATGTCAGCATCTAACAGGAAAAACTTGCAGTGTTACAACTGCTCAACATGCAAAGCAGCACAAAATACAATCAACAGTAAGGAGAAAAATCAATCAAAATTTACCAAGAACTAACACAGATACTAGAATTACCAGATTAAAGCATTAAACCATTATCATAATGGTATTTCACTTTTTCAAAAAGGTGGAGGCCACAGAGTGAACTTGATAATTAGAGCAGGGAAGGTATTCGACCCAAATAATACTTCTAGAGATGAAAACTACAATATCTGAAAAAAAATACACTAGATGGAATGAAGAACCAATTACATATGCAAAACAGTAATGGAAATGAAACTACAATAATATTATCAAAAATGAAAGAGAAAGAAACTTTAAAATAATCATTCTACCATCCTTGAAATATGGGCTAAGCTACATGTAACTGAAGTCCGTAAAAAATGATGGCACGGTGGAAAAAGAAAAAAAAGAAATGTTGCAAAAGTTAATGGCCAAATACTGTCTAAATTAGATGAGAACTATAAATTTCCAGATTCAAAGAGGTTCAAAGAAGCCAAAGAACAAGAAGCACTCAAATGTACATCATAATCGAATTGCCCAAAACCAATGGTAAAGAGAACACCTTAAAAGCAGCATAAAAAGACCCATTAAAAGATAAATATGAAAAAATAAAAGTACGAGATTATTTATCAGAAATAAAGCAATTAATAGGAAAGCAACATCTCTGAATATTACCATCTTCAAAAAGTCATTGTGCAGAAATACAAAATTTAAAATGTGAATAAATATATACTTAACCTCTCCCCCCAAAAATAGTCTTTATCAATGACTTTGGACAGCTGGTTTCAAACATAAACTAAAGTTTCATAAATTTTTAAATATTTCAGCCTATAGTAAAGTCTTTAATAACAAATATATACATCAAGAAAAAAGTATAGTACCTAGTTTTGTCTTAAGAGTCTTTACATTTTCAAGTTCTTGTTCCAACTCCATTATGTTGTATTCCACTGATGAAGACATCCCTATTCAATGCAGAAATATTTTAGAATTAAAATAGAACTCCTAATCCTACTGAACAGGTGAACAGGTAGTCTTCTAATTAAAAATAAATAACTTTTGCAAATTCTGATTATTGAAAATAAAAACAAATGCTTCTGTGACTCACAGGAAACTATATTCACATCTTTATTTAAAACACCATGTTCCTATGGATTTAAACTACATTTAAGATGGTAAAATTCTTATTTGATCTACTACAAAAGTATTACATGCTTCCTACAGGCAGTGAAAAGGAATCCAGGTCCTCTTCTCCCCAACTTCCCTAAAGCGACAACTGTTACCAGTGTGGCTAATACTTTCATGTCCTTCCTCATATGCAAATTTAATTCCTATGACATATACATGTTTCATTATTTGTTTTATAGATGGGATCCAATCAGACACATTATTTGGCCACTGTCTATCCATGCCAATGATGCCTCTACACTGACAGAGGGCCAACTCCACAACTCCATAATATTGATGCACTAGTTTTACTAAAAATTATTCCATTTGTAATTATTCAGGTTTTCCTAAATTTTCTGTCACTATAAACAATAATGCAAGAAACATTCTTGTATGCATACCCATTAATTCCAAAATTCAGAAGAGTAAAAGGATAAGAGAGCATTTTTAGTTTTAAGAAATATTCAAAAGTTACATTCCCCCCAAAATTGTCATTTACTGCAATAATTTAAATTATCGCAATAATTTAAATTTCCAACCATAGCTTTTGAAAATACCTATTTTTCATTGTCTTCCCTAGCACTGGATATAACAACTCTGTAATTTATGCCACTATGATGAGTGAAAAATGTTTTCTGACTATTACTTTCATATGTATTTCTCTAAATATGATTTATGTTTCATGTTGATCACATGGATTCTCCCTATTCATATTTTTAGTTTGTATATAGCATCTCCTTATTTGGTTTTACCCATTAAATTCTGAAACAGATAAATTAAAACCCCCAATACAGTTGTGGTCTGATTATATTTCCTCAGTTTTTAAAAAGGTTTTTTTGGGCCAGAGATTTTGCACATTGGTTCTGCTGTCTGCCTGCCTTTCAGGCACAAGGTCCAGAGTTCAATCCCCAGTACCAAAAAAAAAATGTTTTTCATTATTAATTTGTATTTGTCTATTATAGTTTTTTCATTGCTGTGCCACTAAGATTCTTACATCTTCCTAAGAATATCTTTTATCATATTATAATGACCCCCTTTGTCCCTAATGTTTTACAACTTGAATTCTGTTTTGCGGACTTTAAATTCTGCCTTTCATTTTCATTTGTCTTGTTTGCTTATTTACATACACGCACCTTTCATTTTATTCTTTCTTTCCTTGGCTTACCCAGCTGAATCTGTATTTGAGGTTTAACTTGTATCAGTTAAAGATCATTGGTTAAAAGCAACTGAAACTGACTCTAGAGGTAAAACAGAAAAGGAATTTGTGCCATGAGACTAACAGTAAAGGTTCCATGGATGAAAGTCAAGGAAGCTCCAAAGCCAGGAACAGTCAGGGTGGCCTCCTGCCTTCCTGACCGGGAAGAACAGGTTCCTAAATGAGTAACAATTTTTCTCTATCTGCTACTGCTGTTCACACAGTAAGGTCAGATACTTCTTCAAACAGTAACAAATCACTTGGAAGGCTCAAAAATTCCTGTTCTTGGGGACTGCAGACCAACAGTCCAGAACTGACAAAGAAGGCAGAAGCATGAATGGGTCTCTGCAGGTGTAAACCAGTGGTCCTTTCTCAAGGAGAGACTGAAAGGATTCAGCCCAATACAAGGTCAGCAGGACCAGACAGACCCTGCATCAAGAGGACAAATGCAGTCTCATTAAGGGAATTCAGAAGCTTCTTTTCTAAGCCCCCTTGGGGAAATCACAAAAACCCCGTCTTATCCCAGGTTTCTAGAAGTAGCCCTTGTTCCCTTTGCATCTCTTTTTCACCTGCCTACTGTAAAAGACAGAGAAACCCAATACCCTCTCTTTTGGAGAACTTGAGGCCTCAAATACACCGAAATGTTATGCAGTATTTCCAGAGCTCATTAATCATTTTACTTGTTAACATATAATTGTTATTTTCAGGAGAGTGAGAGTAAAGATTGTACAGAGATACTAAGATAATGTGACCCCAAGCTACTAAATTTATCCCCCACTACCACTACCACCACCACCACCAGGGTTCGAACTCAGGACCTTGCCCTTGTGAGGCAGCCATGGCACCACTGAGCTAAATGCCCAGCCCTAGCTACTAAATTTTGACTAAAAATCTAGTTTTAAGTTTCTGGCAACCAAAGCAAAAGGAAAAGCAATTAAGTTACAAAATTAATGGGCATTTTCATATAACAAGGAGATTTAGCACAGCAATGTAAGATTTTCAAATGTCTCTGAATAGAAGCTTCAACCATATAATAGTGTTAGTGATAAGTATATTTTATTCCAATTCTTTAAAAATTATAGTGTGTATCTGTAATTACCACTCATTTAATGTCTATATTTCATTAATTAAAAATACAATTCCAAACTATACTTCATTCTCTATACTTGTAAAGAAGTATTATTCCACTAACCAGCTCAAAGCTAGAAAAAATAATCTGATGAGTATTCAGAATTTTGAAAGGGAATGGATATTAGAACAGACAATATTCCTGCTGCCAATTTGAAATTAAGTGAAAAGACATAAATGCTTACTTTGTGGGTATGTCTACAAAGCTCAATACAAGTGTCTAGACCATTCAATGTATGATTTTTCAAAGGAAAATACTGAAGTGACATTTCTGAAATGCTGTGCTTTTATTTCAGGTGACCCAACTCTAGGCACACAATGAGTGATTAGTAAATACTGATTGGCATATAAAAATCAAAAATACACTCCTATTGTCCTGAAATAAGTCATGCTTTTATTAAATGACTAGATTCTGTTGAAATAATACAGTATTCAACGACATTACCATCCCCTATTACACAAAAATATATTAAATACCTAAGTGAAAAAGTAAACAAAATAGTAAATAAAAAAGTAAATTGTGGAATGGAAATATTTTATTATATAAGTGACCAGAAGGAAAGAATGGCTATTTGGGGAAACTAAGATGTGATCCAAATAAATATTATATAAGTTGTATCAAAAAATGAAAATATTATGAAAAACTGGATTATCATCGCTTTATTTTTTAAAATCTAAATGTTCAATGTCAGCATTGTCTAGTCAATAAGTCAAATTGGTAGACAAAACCTGTTTAGACAAGTCATAAAAAATAAAAAGGGATTCTCCAAGAAAACCACAAAGCAGCTCATTTAAGGTCAATTTAACGGTATTATTCTGTTTTTCTTCCAGCCCCGACATAGGATTTCACGACCTCAAAGGAAATTGTAAGAGTATCTATTTGCATTCCCCCAGGTGATTGGCAGTTCAACACCAATTAGTTCAAAATTACACTGTTACTAGCATGCAATAAAAACAACACCTTTCATCTTTCTAACATAGGTAAGAATACCTTCAGAGCCAATAACTTTGATCAAATAAGTATTTTTGATCCTGCCCCACCCGTCTCTTTGGATTTAGGAAAACTAATAGCTGAAGGTAAATTTTCCCAGCTTTATTCTTAAGCTGAAAAACTAATGTGGTATTGAAAATATTTTGCTTCCAAGATAACAGAATTTCGCAAAGTCCAGCATTACTTCAATAACTAAGAGGTCCTTATGCCTTTTCTTAATACAAAAGACACAATACATAAGATAGCCTTCATATGGTAAAGGGCAGATGCTAATTATTTAATTTTTTAAACAAATATACACTATCAATTTGACATGTGAACATTCAAATAATTTGATGCAATAAAATTATCTCTCTAAACAATTCAGTATCTTAATGCAGTGTCCTAAGCTTATTCATAACAATACTGTTTGGAAGTAGAGATCACTTGTATATACAGATTTTTTATATTTAACTTTTATAATTAGCATATAACCAAAAAAAGTTTGGTTAGAAAATTTTGTCTAGGGCCAGAGATTTAGCTCAGTGGTTCTGCTGCCTGCAAGCATAAGGTCCCGAGTTCAATCCCCAACACCAGAAAGAAGGAAGGAAAGGAAGGAAGGAACGAAGGAAGGAAGGAAGGAAGGGAGGGAGGGAGGGAGGGAGGGAAATTCTTATCTAAATAACCTTTGAAAAAAATGACTTGATCAATGTCATCTCTATTCCCAAGAATGGGAGGTCATTCAGGCACATTAATTATTTCCAATCACTTAAGCAAGGAACTTTACTATTCCAGCCCAAGACTCCTAGTAACTCATACAGCAAAAACTCTACACCTCCCCAAGTAGATGCACCTTGCTGTACACCACAGACCCCAGGAAGCATGTGTAAATTAAAGCCTCACCTCAAATCTCTGATACATCTATTTTGTGTGGGCCAATGCTGTTGCTACCCATAGAGGAGAACAACGGCCCACATACAGAATCTTTTTGAATGTCTATTCTACTCATAATACTAATCTTTATTAAAATAATAGTTTCTATTTATTTCTGACATAGCCCACATAAAATCGCTAATTATGAATCTCAGCAATGTAAGACATAATACTCAACACAATTGTGAAAATGCAACTGTACTTACATTATTAATGACTGCAAGCAAGGTAGAAAATATTAAGCAGTAAGCTTTAAGAATACTATGTAATGCTATGTAAAATTAAAATAATGGTTTGGCTTTTTTCTATTTTGGATGTAAGCTTGGTAAACTTTAAGATGTTAAGATCATTCTTTTAACCTTTCTACTTATATATGCTACTATTAGCAACACTATGATTCATGTAGATTGTGCTTTAAAAACTAGCTTATGTATATTAAATTCATCTTCATCTTCTTTTAAACAAATGTGAATCATTTTTATAATACAACTTCTTTAAATGTCACAGAATATGATGACTCATATTCTACTTTGTTATTGCAAAGCATTCCTTACCTACTCATATTAGAATAG